AGAGTCTCAGCTCTGCCCAGGAAGGTCATGGAGCAGATACTCCTAAAGGCTCTACTCTGGCACATGGGAAATGAGGGGGTGACTGGTGGCAAGAAACATGGCTTCACCAAGGACAAATTGTACCTGACAAATTTGATGGCCTTTTGTGATGGAGTTACATTGTCAGTAGACAAAGGCAGAGCAACTGATGTCATTTACCTGGGCTTGTGCAAAGCATTCAAAACTGTCCTGCGTGACATCCTGGTCTCTAAATTAGAGAGAAGTGGATTTGATGGGTGGACCACTGTGTGGATAAGGGATTGGCTGGATGGGCACACTCAAGGAGTTGTGGTCAGTGGCTTGATGTCCAAGTGGAAACCAGTGATGAGTGGTGTTCCTCAGGTCCTGGGACTGGTGCTGTTTAACATCGTTGTTGGTGACGTGGACAGCAGGACTGAGTGGGCCATCAGCAGGTTTGTGGGTGACAGCAAGCTGTGTGGTGTGGACAACATGCTGGAGGGGAGGCTTTCAATTCAGAAGGACCCTGACTGTCTGGAGAGATGGGCCCATGCCAGCTTTGTGAAGTTTAACCAGGTGCAGAACCTTGTACTTGGCCTTGGCCAGGGCAGTCCCAAACACAAATACAGGCTGGGCAATGAGGTGCACTGCTGGACCATGTACTAATGAATAAAGAAGGGCTGGTTGGGGACATTAAGGTTTGGAACAGCCTTGGCAACAGTGACCATGACATGGTGGAGTTTGGTATTTTACAAGGTAGAAGCAGGGCAATAAATAGGATTACAACCCTGGACTTCTGCTGGGCTAACTTTGCACTCTTAAAAGATCTACTTGCAGGAATCCCATGGGATAAGACTCTGGAGGGTAAAGAGGCCCAAGAAAGTTGGTCAGTTTTTAAATACCACTTCCTCCAAGCCCAAGATAGGTGTGTTCCCTTGAGTAAATAATTGGGTCGATGGGCTAAAAGACCTGCATGGGTGAGAGAAAGCCTGGAAGGGGGAAGACTCTCTGCTAGTCAATGGAGACTGGGTTAGTGATCTGTTAAGGAAACAGAATACACATAAGTCCATGAGCCCTTATGAGATGCACCCAAGAGTATTGAGAGAACTGGCTGATGTCCTCACTCTACCACTCTCCATCATTTTTGCTAGATCGTTGCAAACAGGAGAGGTGCCTGAGTTCTAGAGGAAAGCCAATGTCACTCTAGTCTTCAAAAAGGGCAAGAAGGAGGATCCTGGAAACTACAGACCAATCAGCCTCACCTCCATCCCTGGAAAAATGATGGAGCAGCTCATACTGGAGGTTATCTCTGAGCACATGAAAGAGAAGAAGGTTCTCAGGACTAGTCAGCATGGATTTACCAAGAGGAAATTATGCCTGACTAATCTGATAGCATTCTGTGATGTGGTGACTGAATAGGTAGATGCAGGGAGATCAGTTGATGTGTTCTACCTTGACCTTAGCAAGGCATTTGACACAGTCTCCCTTAACATCCTCCTGAGCAAGCTCAGGAAATACGAGCTGGAGGAACAGGCAGTGAGGTGGGTCGAGGACTGGCTGCACAAGAGAGCCCAAAGAGCAGTGATCAATGGTGCCAAGTCCAGCTGCAGACCTGGAACTAGTGGAGTCCCCCAGGGATCAGTGCTGGGTCCAGTCCTGTTCAGCATCTCATTAATGACCGGGATGATGGTATAGAGTGTCTGCTCAGCAAGTTTGCTGATGACACGAAGCTGGGAGGTTTGGCTGATACACCTGAGGGCTGTGCTGCCATTCATCGAGATTTGGGCACACTGGAGAGCTGGACCTGACTGGATGCATTCCTGTGTGACCTGCCCTAGATTAGGTGGTCGTGCTCTGGCAGGGGGGTTGGACTTGATCTCTAGAGGTCCAATCCTGACATTTTGTGATTCTGTGAATGAGTGGATTGAGAGCTGTCCTGAGGAGAAAGACTTGGGAGTGCCGATTGACAAAAAGCACAACATGAGCCAACAATGTGCAAGTGCAGCCCAGAAAGCCAACTGTATCCTGGGCTGCATCAAAAGAAGCATCAAAACAGGTGTGGCCAGCAGGTTGAGGGAGGTGATTCTCGCCCTCTACTCAGCTCTGGTGAGATCTCACCTGGACTACTGCTTCCAGTTCTGTATCCCCCAACACAAGAGGATCATAGACCTATTGGAGCAGGTCAAGAGGAGAGCCACGAAGATGATCAGAGAGCTGGAGCACCTCTCCTACGAGGACAGGCTGAGAGAGTTGGGGTTGTCCCGCCTGAAGAAGAGAAGGCTCCAGGGAGACCTCACTGCAGCCTTCCAGTATCTGAATGGGGCCTACAGGAAAGCTGGGGAGGGACTTCTTACTAGGGCTCCTGTTGCGCGAGGAGCCCCAGGATCACGACACACTTCACAGAAGGTTCGTCAGTGTTCCGCTTTAATCTCCACAGGCAGCTGTATTTATACACTGGGTGACCGATCACACACAGTTTATACTTTCGTGTTGGTTAGCACTGCACAGCCAGGCTCTAACCCCGTATCCCCACAGGCTGAATGTCTCTGTCCACGCGCCAAGGCGCTGACAGGGTGGTCTCCTGCTTGCAAGTTCCGGCCAAGCTTTGATCTGCGCAGACGCTGTCGAGCTGTCCCCCATGTCCTTCCTGCCTAGAGCCGCAAGGGCACGGTGCCCTTGAGGTTCACCTCCGGTATTTCATCATCTTCCCTGTAGCCTGAGCTGCGCATAAGGGCTTCCAGGACGCCATCTTGTGACGCAGCTAAAATTCCCTCTACAGGCTCCTAGTGACAGGATGAGGGTTAACGGCTTCAAATGGAAGGAGGGTAGATTTAGATTAGAAATTAGAAAGAAATTTTTTGTTATGAGGATGGTGAAACACTGGTACAGATTGCCCAGGGAAGTTGTGGATGCCCTGACACTGGATGTGTTTGAGAGTGGATTGGATGGGGCTTTAAGCAACCTGATCTAGTGGGAGGTGTCCCTCCCCATGGCAGAGGTGTTGGAAGTAGATAATCTTTAAGGTCCCTTCCAACCCAAACCATTCTATGATTCTATGCATATAATAGTTTTTAAATTGTATTAGAGGCATTTAAGGCAGAAGAGCAGAATGCTATTTCCTTGCTTTATGATTAATACATTAATTTGTACTGGGTCATCTCAAGTTAAAAATAAAGTGGCCACTAAAATACTTAAAGCAGCCTTAATTATTTAGAACAATTTCATGTTGCTGCACTATCCCATTTCATGCGTTACAAATCTGCTAAAATCTTTCCCTTTAGTTGCCTGTAATAGATGGCTTGAATTCTTTTTTGATGTTAGTAAGATAGTTTCCCCCCTGTAGGCATTTGATTTCATATGGGGATGGTCTCTTGGCTGAAATGAAACTGAACCTGCATACATCACTGACTTGTCCTTTAGCACACAAAATAGTAAAGCTGGGCGTTAGCCCAATATGCAGTATTGCATGTGATGTGTAACGTTTTCAGAATTTGGAAATATTTGTCAGAAATTCTTATTTGTGAAAGTTAAAAAAAAGACCTTTGTAATCTTCTCAGAAGAGTATTTTCCTCCCTTGCAGGAATGTGCTAGCTTCAAGAGTGTGCTTCTCATCACAAGTAGGTTTTGTAAAAATAATTCACCTTTAAGATTTATAGGTAACCTTTGTCAAAGGTTTAATTGTTCTGCTAGGACACAGTGAAAGTTGGAAATCTACCTTGCAAGAGTTCTGTCTTGAAATATGTCAAAACCTGGTTTTCATAAGGGTGTTATTACCTTTTACTTAGAGATCAAATTGATGCATTAAATTACTTGTCTTGTTTTTACTAGAGAGGACCATGCTGAAAAGAATGGTGTTGTCATCTAGGTACTTTAAAGAGCTATCAACCCTTGCTTCTAAAATGGGCAGAGCCTGTAAGAAGGCTTGGTGCTTCAAGTAGATACAAGGCTGATCTGACAGCAGCTGGAGGCCTTCTCTCTGGAATTGTTGTTATGAGTTGTCAGGAATGTCTGAGAACCTTTTTGCTTGGTCCCTGTGTTGGGAGATTTCTGTTCAGCAGTCTGCTAGACAGAAATAATGACTTACTAGAAGTGCATGAGTTGGGTAAACTCCGAGTTTGACGTTTGGAAATCTCAGTTTATGGTTGCTAGGCAATATGCATTCACAGCCATGTAGTCTGCCTTCCTCTTCATCTGCTTGGGCTTTACAGATAAGTAGTATCTTCATTTTTTAATTATTTTTTTTCCCTGGGTTCTGTGTTTTTCTTCTGTTCTGCTGCTCTGGGCTGTTGTGAACTTTGCCAGTGGAAGCTGTCCACCTCTTTTGATGATCTCCTCTTCTCTAGAATGGACTTGAAAGTATTAAGTTCTTCTTAATATTTCTACTTGACATCTCGTTTGTGTAAATCATTGAGCCAGCTCATGGTCTCTAACACATGCTCTTGGGTTTTGTGTGTGTAATTAAGAGCTCTGAAACATGCTGTAGAGGAGGATGTATACAGAGAAATAAATTAGTAGGTGTTGGGACAATTAACTACTTTTTTAATGTTTTATATGCTATAGGATAACTGTAAAAGATTAAGTACACCAAGTGCTAGAGGTTAGTGCATCTTGTGAGCTTCAGGACATAGGACTCTTCTTGTCCCTGTTGGGCAGATGCAAGATTGCTGCAGTTCTGTGTCCCCAAGTCTGGGGGCTACAGAAGTTCTGGTTTTTGGACATAGTGTATATATAGTTGCAGGTTGTGCCTGGGGCTTGTGACATGCTGCATTGTAGAAGGTTTAGACCTTGCCTGCATACTGCAGTATTTTTTTAAAATGTGATTTTTATAATTTATTTTTTTCCTGAAGAATACTGCTTCCAATTTTGGACACCCCTCTCCCCACCCCCATTCTCCCCCAGTATGAAAAATACATCAATAAATGGACGCAGTTCAGTGGAGTGCTGTGGAAATGGTGGGGCTGGAGCACTGGCCCTGTGAGGAGAGGCTGGGGAGGCTGGGTGTGTCAGTCTGTAGCAGCGGTGGCTTTGGGGTTGGGACAGGGACCTTGCAGAAGTCCTCAGTGCCTGTGGGAAGATCACTGCAGATAATGCAGGGTGGAGGAATGAGAGGCAACAGGTCTAAGCTGACAGGAGAGAGGCTCGGCTTGGAACGCTCTTTGCCCCTGTGGATGGCTGTGCAGAGAACAGGTTGCCCAGAGAGGCTGGCCAGTTTCAGTCCTTAAGAGATTTCAGGCCCCAACGGGATGTAACCTTGAGCAGCCAGATCTGACCTCAGAGGTGACCTGTTGTGAGCAGGAGATTGGAGCAGAGAACCTCAGGCTCCAGAACATGAATTGTTCTGTGATTTCATAATGATCTGAGCATTGAATTGTGCTGTTAGCCTGCATGGTTAAAGTGCTTAATGATGAGTTTAGGGTAGAAGAGCAATTTGGTTTGGGACAATCTAGTGCAGATTGTCTGACCAGCTAACTTGGATCAGGTCCTACTGAACTGCTACATGTTTATGTTAATAGCAACTTAAAAGAATGCAGTTTAATTTCTCTGTTGCGCTTGGATTGTAAGCTCTGATTAAACGTTTTGTTTCAGATAAATCCAAGTGAAATTCAAAGATTTTCAGATTTTCCATTGTCAAGGAAAACCCTGAAAGGTGAGTACAAAAGTTTTCTTCAGAAAGTAATTTAAGTAAAAATGAATGTACTGTTTAGCTGCATCTAAACTTTTTATTTTCTTTAAATTAAGTTTTAGATAAGTGTTGATCTGCATGTTTTCTAAATGGAGCATTACATCTCTGGGCAAGACAAAAAATAAAGATTTTTTTAATTTCTTTTTTTTATCTTTTTCCTTCCCCTCCCACACTCTCTTTTCCTCCCCGGCTGCTAACACTAGGGTTGCAGGAAGCTCAGTACCGTGTGGTAACAGAGATACAGAGGCAAACCATAGGTTTGGCTTTACAAGGTAAAGATGTACTTGGAGCTGCAAAGACTGGATCAGGCAAAACTTTGGCTTTTATTGTCCCAGTAAGTAATGTACATCCTTCCATTTATACTTAAACCAAGTTATATGGGAAGTATTGGATGTCAAACAGCTTAGGTTAATAGATTCTGGGAGAAAAGTTCTAAGTCAGCTGATCTAGATGTTCCAAGAAAGCCAGGATACTCATTCAAGAAAGCTACTTGAGGTTCTGAAAGAAGTATATTTTTTGCCTTAGGAATGTTCTGACATTTAGAAGTTCCATTTTGATCCTTACATTGGTAGATCCTCTGTGATTTGGGAAGTGCTTTGTTTTTCTCTCAGGAGTCTGTCTTCCTAGTGTGACTCTAGTCTTTTGGGAATGCCTTAGAAATCACTTCTAGGTGCAAGTGGGAAATCCCCTATCATGGAGAATACACATTTAAGTGTTTCACTCAAAACATGATGTTCTGCATTTAATTTCTTCAAGTTGAAAGTATAATTGAGACATTTGCTGAAACTGCACATTGAAGTGGATGCAAAACCCATCATGTTATTAGATAAAGGGAAAAATACATATTGTTTTGATTATGGAGTTTTTTGATGTAAAAACTACTTGTGTTTTTGTGAGCATAAATGTCATTTGAGCCTACTCTCTCACTAACTGTGGGAACAGTAGCAGGTGTTTTAAATTATTGAAGATTGAGAAGACCTATGCTTTATGCTGTGTTTTTTTTAAGTTATTTTTTTATTAGTGAAGTACAAAAAATGTAGGTGGCTTCAAAAGATAGTCATGTGAACTTGAGAAACAAGTGAGTACTCAATTCGTTCATCTAGGCACTTTGTTTGATAAAGCTTGTTTTAAAAGAACTTTTAGGACAGAAAAGTGATGAAAGGAGGTGGAGAGATGAAAAGTGAAAAAAGATAATTACAGAATTGTACCAGGATGCTTAACAGTCTGAAGTATTTCAGAATGCTTCTGGTATTCATAGCTGTGAAATCTTTCTGTTGGCATTAGCTGAGTAAGACAGTGTTTCTGCAGAGTGAATTCTTAGCAGTAGGAATAATTCTGGTCTGAGGTATATGTCTGCTTCAGCTAGAATGCTCTGTACACAGCACCTGGGAGTAGCGTTGCTTCAAGTCTGTAACCAGAATCAGAGCTGCAATAATTGGCTTCTAATTGCTCATTCTGTGTCTGGCTTGCACTGAATCTTAGGAGCAAGGAAGTTTCTCATGGTTTTTCTACATCTGATTTCTGTTCTCAGAGAAATGATTAAGACTTAATTTCCAGAATTTAGCAGAATAGGGTTAATTGTGCCGTAAAATGTTTATGATTTACCACACATTACCGTCAGTCATAGATTGGCACTGGGGAACTTTGCTACAGCAAGTATCATTACCATCAGTTACAACTGATATATAATCAGTGTGTGAGGTGTATTCTGATGTTTCTTCAAGTCATTATTTTAATTAGCATGGCTTTATATTTTTTTATTACGCTTTTTGTTACAAATTTGTTATGTATTTATTTTCCTTCTGAGACTTTTATAATGAAAATAGGGTGATTTTTTTTTTTTTTTTCCCAGGCTTTGGAGCTCCTGTATCGCCATCAGTGGACTTCTGCTGATGGATTGGGAGTTCTGATCATCTCACCGACCCGGGAGCTGGCCTATCAGACCTTCAAGGTTCTGCGTAAGGTGGGAAGGAACCATGAGTTCTCAGCTGGCCTTATCATTGGAGGCAAGGTGTGTCTTCTCGTGGAGTTTGCTGCATGGAAGCATAAATGAGTGCTCTATCAAGTGCTGGTTTAGGAAGGAAAACTCAGAAATGAAAACTCGGGGAAGAGAGTTAATAGGAACCTATCAATGGTCCACCCATTTTCCTGGCTTCTGAAGGCCTTTGCATGTTTACATTTTGCTTATTTGCATAGTCTTTCCAGGCTGCATAACTGAAATTGTAATGTCTCTGTAGAAGGAGGACTTGACTAGTTCTTCTGAAAGCTATCAATAGGTTAAGCTGGCCTGACCATCTCTACTGGATTTCTAGTGTAAGCAACTAGAACTAAGCTGGTTTATCTCCTTTTCAGGATCTGAAAGAAGAGTCTGAAAGGATCCACCACATAAATATGCTCATTTGCACTCCAGGACGGCTTCTACAGCACATGGATGAAACGTCGTATTTCTATGCATCTGATTTGCAAATGTTGAGTAAGTTTTTGAAGTACTGCAGAATACTCATAAATATTTTGTAATGGTTTGTAATTGTGTGGAGCATTTCCTTGAATAAAAGTTTATCCTAGTCATGGTATGTAGATGAAATGTCATTTAAGTTCACACATACAAGTTTTAAAACAGGAGACACGAAAACTCCTTCCTTGTGTGTGTTTTCTTTCAAAGCAATTGCTGAGCCTGCCTTCCTTAGGATGATAAGAATAAGTAGGTGAGTTAGCAAGGAATCCAAAATGAAATGTAATGTCCCATATAATCCCTTAGATCTGTCTTGGCTAACAGTGACCTCTCCATTCTGACTATAGCTCTTGTCTTTTTCCTGACGTGCTAATTAAATACGTGGAATATACACTACTGTCTGTATTTTGGGCCAGTTCTTGAAAGCACTTCTCTTTACATTTTAAGACAGATTGTTGTTCCTTTCATTGTTTTGTTAGCAGTTAACATTGCTTCTTTCCATACTTCCAACTTGAATACAAATTTCAGCATAATGAAAAGATTTGCCTGCTTCTAGGAACTGTGAATAATCTTTAGCATAGCTTGAGGAACTTAGAAGTAATTAAGACACTAATTAAGCTGATAAAATGTGAAATTATCCTCACTACACTGATAAAAATTTCTGGCAGTTAGACAAGAGCTGCATTAAATGTGGGCCTTTTGCTTAAAGCTTTGTCTCTGTGCTACTCTATTCCCTAAGTTTCAAGATGGTAGTAATTAATTTAATTCGGCTTAGGTACAGGAGAGTTGGGTTTGCTCTGTCATGAATAGTACAGCACTGCTTTATATTCCATACTTTTGTTTTGGTAATAGAAAAGGTTTTTTTTTTTTAATTTGCAAATTGCTGAACTGTTTACTTGAAACGCTAAGTTTTTATGCCTCAACATGTGAAACCAGGGACTGTAGTGCATAGGTTTTGGGAAATGCTATGACTTCTGTTGCAATTTTTAAAAAATGTATTTTATGAAGTATGTAAACATCTAAAGAGAATCCTGTTCTGTACAGTAATGAAGTCCATCTCTGTAATTTAATTAGGCTTGGATTTTTAGTACCATGTGGATTTAATTTATTATTATGTTTTTTAAAACAACACTATAACCATATTTTTCTCAAATCTCTCTCTCAATTCAGTTCTTGATGAAGCTGATCGGATTCTAGACATGGGGTTTGCTGACACAATGAATGCAATCATAGAAAATCTTCCTAAGAAACGCCAGACCTTGCTTTTTTCTGCAACACAAACAAAATCTGTCAAGGATCTCGCACGACTGAGTCTGAAAGATCCAGAATATGTTTGGGTTCATGAGAAAGCCAAATTCAGGTATGTTGGGATAATACTTTTTCCTGAGGGGGGGTTAAACAGATGGTGACTTACTTATCTGCTTCTCCAACTGTTGGTTCCATGAATGAGAAATGACCCCGTGCATCCTCTTCCTTCCCTCCGTGTCTGATCCTTTTGTGTTCCTTCCTGAAAGCAAGGAAATTCCACATGAGGGGGTACTGGTCCTGACTAATTCATTACAGGCAGGCTGAACCTGCACTTCCTTGTGGCTCCTCAGGCATCTTCTCACACTAGAAATTTTGTTCCTTGGAAGCAAGCCGCAGAGTAGGTTATAGCCTGGATGGAGTAGTGTCCTGGGATGTAAGAGCACTCACTTCTGAATTGCTACTTTTTTTTTGTTGTTTGGTTGCCTTACTTCCTGTGTGTGCGTAGTCACTGTGCAGAACCACCAGATGTGTTGCACGAATAGAGTTCTGCTGTGTGCTGCTGCTAAGTCAAGCTTTCCAAGGAAATGTTGCCCTATGGGGAATGTGCAGGGTTACAGTCTTGTTTATCTATTCAATATTAGGCCCCCAAAGGAAAGCATATGTATGGCATTGATCCATGTGTAGTAAGTCTTGTGGCTTCCTGACATGCTGGGTTTGTTGTGTGTGTTCAGGACTCCAGCCCTGTGTGCATGAAATAAATTTGTCATGCCATACAGTTTGGATCAGACTGGGAGGCCCTTCCTAGAAGTGAAGTATGTGGTCTGCCAAGCTCAAAAAAATTAATGTATCACTAAATGAAAAATGGTACACATTGTTTTTTGGCACACTTTTTCCATTTGAAATCTAAATAAAGAACATTATTTAAGAGTTTGTTTTTCTGTGAGCTCAATCATCTCAGTGTCAAATTGCTTATGAACGTGTTTGATTCTTTTTTCTGCTCTTCTATGAAATAGATGCATATATTTCCATATGTAAGATTCAGGAGAGATGTGAAGCATGGTGATAAAAATGGCTTTCCCAAGAGCAAAGAAGAAATAGACAGCAAAATGAACAGCAGAACCAGGCTGAATCTTGAGGCAGTTTTAATGATTTGATTTGATTTTCTGTGTATAGTACTGCAAATACCTTTTTAAAATCATTACTATCAAAGACTTTTTAAATAAGCATAACTGCTGGAAAAAAATGTGTGGTTAATATCCTCTTAGCAGAAGATGTACAAGCCTAGTATGTAGTCTTTGTTCTGAGGAGTGAATGTACATGTTTCATTTTTTTGTGAAGTCTATTTTAATGTACTTTTCTTTAAAATACTTGGGAGAGTGTAATTAGATGACAAATTGAATCAACAAAAAAGAAGTATTGTTTTAGAATTCACTGCCTTAGTACATGATATGTTATTGCTTTACAAAACGAGCTTCCTCTGAAAGACTTTGAAAGTAAAAGGTGCTGTGGTGTGATTCAAATTGAATATCAGAATAAAAACTGGAGGAGTGGGCCACCTCTTGGTGAAGTAATTTTGAATACCCTTGGTCTGTTTCGCGTGAAGCAGAGGCACTGTAAGAGATGAGCATTTAGATTTATTTCAAGGGCAAATATGCTAAAGAATTTTAATATTTTGTGTTATTTGTGAAGAACAGAAAGGTGAGTTAAGACGACAGTTCAGAGCTTTACAAAGTCCCTTTGCATGTCAGGGTGTAATCGGAAGTACATCAATGCTCTTTTTTTCGTGCATGATTAATCTGTGCTTTGACATTGCCTTAAGCACAAATGATGCTTTAATAGGAGTAATAGACAAAATTGCATTCTGAGTCAAGGAAATTTGAGTGTCACCGCTTAGACATGGAAAGAGTTTGGCTTGCTAGTATTAAATGAATTTAGAAGTAATGTCAAAAGTCATCCCACCCTCCCCACTGGCTTTTAGTAAGGAAATTGATTTGTCTCTCAAGAGTCACTTTCTAGTGGGGGCCAGTAAGACTTGTTCTTTAAAGTGGGAGAACTTTCCAGCCTGACTGTTTTTTTTCTCCTTTTCCTGGGTATTTGTCAGACACTCTTGACTGAAAAGAAAGGTGAGACAGCTCTATAGATGTATACCTGTATATTCTCTCTCTTCCTAACTTTTCTTTATCTTTTTTTTATTATGGGAACTAATGATATCTCAATGTACTTTTTTTTTTTGTTTTTAGTACCCCAGCAACTTTGGATCAGAATTATGTTGTTTGTGAGCTTCAGCAAAAAGTAAACATGTTATACTCTTTCCTGAGAAGTCACTTGAAAAAGAAGACCATTGTATTTTTTGCAAGCTGTAAAGAGGTATGGCTATTCCCCAGCTTCCCCTGTAGCATTTTAAAACTATTAACATGAAGACATTCATCTGGACTAGTTGGCAGAAGGAAACTGGGGGAGAATCCAAATGTAACCTATTCCTGTAGGCATGTCATGCAAGGCCTGGCTGCTGGGAAGCTCAATGACCCAGGTTTGATGAGGGAAGGTCATTTTTGTGCTCTGCTGTTAAATATGAATGCTAAAAGTTACATTGCTAAGGGCCAGCTATTTCAGTTTTCTCTCATGACATTTCGTAGCTGGGTTATGAAGTATTTTAATAGTTCTACGCACTTTCTTTACAAGCCTTTAAATCTGCTTATGTAAGAAATTATAATTGTGAAACAGTGGAGGGAAGGGTTTTTATTATGTTCATATAGGAAGTAATTAATGAAATATCTATTTGTGTAAATCTCCTGAGGCTTCTGTTGGAGTTATTTGTATGTGTTTGTGTGCCATAGGTATTTATTCCTATAACTACTGCACATATTGGATATTTTGCAACATACAATGTTTTTTTACATATTTGTTGCACTTCCTCAACTTGTGCAAGAGATTAGAATATTAGAATATTTTTGTTGTTCTGCAGTTGGCTGGTGAGTACAGTGAGCTGGTAGACTTGGTTGTATGAAGTTCTCTGAGCTGCAGTTATTCCTGGAGCATAGAGAGTTTTTGTGACTATTTCTTAAAAAAACCCCATTAGCTAGCTGCCTGCTATAGAATAATGCTGCATCATGATACTGTATGTGAGAATAAACGGATTGTGTTTATAAGAGAAGCTGTTGAAGCTTGAAATCATGAACCAGGACTGTGTAGACTGCTTTGAGATGCAGGCATAAGACACTACCCCCTCCAGTATTATCTGAAAGCAGTGCTTCTGGTGGACATGGGATACTTTGGTCCTTTGCACACAGCCTAGCTAGTCATGCCCCAGGTTGTTTTTGCTGCTACTGACTCTGGTTCCTTTCAGGAAATGACATCAAAAGGGATGGATGGCAATCTTTGCCACAGGTCACCTCCTCTCCTAGTACCTGGGCGTGTGGCAGTCTCAGCAGAGCACCTCTTGCCTCTGGTGTGCGAAGTCGGTTGCTGTGTACTGAATGCGATTTTAACAAGTTTAATGTTGCATTATAATTTTTCTTTTCTCCCCCTGCCCTCCCCCCCCGCCCCGATTTGTTGGGTAGGTCCAGTATCTATTCAGAGTGTTCTGTAAGCTTCAACCGGGTCTTCCTGTGCTGGCACTCCATGGCAAGCAGCAGCAGATGAAGAGAATGGAAGTCTACACTTGCTTTGTTCGCAAAAAGGCGGCGGTGCTCTTCGCTACAGATATTGCAGCTCGTGGCCTGGGTACGTACCCACAGAGACAACAGTTGTTCACAAAGTGATGATCTAACCCTTTTGAGTCTTAATCAGACTTTATGCTTTGATGTCCAGCCTGATTTTTAAGAAACAAAGCTGTAGTTTGCTTAAGAGCTTATTAGGGTTGCTCAGAAGAGATGTGTCTTAGACCTTTGCTGTTCCCTTACTGAAAAAGCCCACTTCATTTGTGCTTATTTTTCCTTTTTGTCCCAGGAAGACCTATGTTGTCAACAGTTTTGTAATGGCATTTGTTAGGTAGTCAGTGGAAGCTGCCTTTTATTTATTTGCTTTTCAAAGTCTGTAGACAATCTAGTTTTTCCGGCCATGTTCTGTGACAAATATCTGGAACAAGAGAAAATGGAAATAGCAGTATTTGCTTACTACATGCCATAAGGCAGGATTTCAGCAGTTTTAAGTATTGCTGATGTGCCTGTATCCTCTGGGTTATTCCAAAGGGTATGAAAAATTACTAACCTACCAGTATGTGGAAATAAGAACCTGAAGAAATATTAATGTCTGAACTATGAATGTCACTATAGGCCTGTATTCTTAAGGAAGCAGAAAAGTAGATGAGGGGGAAAAGCAACAATATTTATGGGAACTGTTTTGGTTTGAGTTTCTTTCCTCTGGTCATTGCTTGCTGAATTATGATTTACTTCTTTATGTTTTTAGTGGATACTTTGGTCTTTTTTTTTTTTTCCTTTAGCACTTGGAGTCATTTAGGTATGACACAAGACTGTTCAGGGGTCTACTTGTTCCTCTTTCAGATGGCAAACTCTTGTCCAACTGTAAGGTTTTGTCAGTATGCTACAAAAGGAAGAAAGGTGCTCTAAAATCTGAAGGCAGAAATGAAGAATATTTCTCATACCTTCTACTTTGCTCAAACGTCACTAGTGAGGGTCTAATGTGGGTATGGTTGGTTGAGTTGGGAGCGTAGGTATAATTGTGGGGTACAGTGTAGCTGCAGACTTGGTCAGGAGGTAACACAGACTTATTGCAATGCTAAGCGTGCTGCTGCTGAGTGAAGAGAGTCAGTTAGAAAATCTGTATTTATAATACCATGCACATTCAAGGTTGACTTTTTTGTCAGGCTTGCTCACCCCCTCCTGTCTTTGACAGAGACACTGATATTACTGTATGTGGACAGCTGAAGTAGTGCTTTCTTACCACAGCTAAGCTGAAACCATGGTGGGTGTAAGATATTGATACTGTATGTGAGAAGTGGGTGAGATACTGTTATTTAATTATTAAACTTGTGGTGTTTTATCATCTGTGTGACACAAAGCATGTCTGTTCTTGTCAAGTGTGAAATTATGTTCCATTCAGTGCACTGTCATAATTTAGGAAATGAAGACACCATTAATTTTAGCTTTCTTTGATGAAAAGAATGATTGTTTATGATATCCTAATATATGCAATTAATTTTATTTTTACTTTAGGGGTTGCACCCAATATCTGTAAATTGGTCTAAATGATGGTTCTTACAGGAATTAATGCACCAAAATAACATGTTGCTCTTGAGTAGGAGGATTTTGAGTACAGTGAGCTTAAATTTTGACATATGTTTTTCTTTACATAGATTTTCCAGCAGTGAACTGGGTGATTCAGTTTGATTGTCCAGAAGATGCAAACACATACATCCACAGAGTGGGAAGAACAGCCAGGTTTGTATTCCCTTTTCATTAATTTTAATGTTTAAAATTAGATCACTCTAGGGGACAGTTAATTGGCTAAAGACTTATTTCAATAAAACCAAGATATAAATTGAAAAGAAAGAAGGGCTGTTGTCACCAAAAGATCCTTTTGGTTATTTAAGAGTAATGATTTGACTTAACAATTTCTTAGTGAGCTTCAGTCACTCCTTACAGCAGGCAGAAAGAATACCTCCAGTTGTTTAATCTGATCAGGGAAGATTAATAGTGAGGGAGCAAAAATCTTCTTTTGCACTTTACAGGATTAACTCAAAGGCTGAGTTGAGCATGCATGTAGGTGGGGAAGCTTCTTTTGCCACCATCACTTGTAGATAAGTAAGGCTTTAGGCTGTATATAAAATTTCTTTGTCATCGAAGACTTCAAAAGAATGGAAATATTTCTTCCTTATTTTAATTTGTGGGTAAGGGAAGCAACTAATCTTAATTACAGGTTACAAATTTTAATTTTCTAAGTATTTTGTAGAATGAGGTTCTTAGGGATAGCTTTAGTTAAAGTACTTGTGGCTAAGCTTTTCTGACAGAAGGGAGTTACCCAGATATGGTGTTGAAAACCTGGTCTTTGATCTCTGAAGTAGATTCTTAAGAGAATTAGGAGCTGTTACTGTGTATAATTTGATAGATAAAAAACTTTACGCAATTATCTGAAGGATGAAACGCAAGCCCTGGCATTATATCTTGTACATAATTTAATTTTTGTAGTAGGATTTGCAGTATAGGCAATTGTCAAACCTAATGATAAAGCACTTGCTTAGAATAGGACTTCAGCACTCTGCACTGTAGGAATTTGAAATCTGTTTCCTGGATCAGAAGACATTGAATTTTGGTGACTGTAATAGGAGTGTACTTCCTGCCCCCTTTCAGAACGTGGGAGTTCTAGCCATGTTTTCATTGTAATTTGGAACACTTTTGCCCCATTCTGTCTTGTACTCTCCATTTTCCTATCCATCTGTTATAGAAGGGAATAATAATTTTTTTAAACGCTTTTGGGAAAAGACTATGAAGAAAATCAGCAACTGATATATCTAATTAGATAAAATGTACCTATTTGGCTAAATTCAAATCTAGATGCAATCTCATGCATCCCATTGAGACAACACAGGCTTAGTTAGTTTTTGGCTTTTTTTTTTTTTTAAATCTGATGTCGCTTCCATAGAAGCCTTGTAATTTTTTCCTTCATGGCATCCTGTCATTGTGAAAGGGAAAACAATATATTTGGCACTGTTTATCTAGGAGGCTTGTTGAGCTCTTCTCAAGCCTTGTTGCTGATGCAAAGTACCTCCCTGGGGTTACAATCCTCAAGCCTTTCCCCAGTTCTCATTACAGTGAGAAGAGCATTTTTAAGTGGATTTAGAGACGGGGAGCAGCTACATAAAACCAAATAACTTTTCTAATGGCTTTAATAAAGTGTTAGTGTAATAAGGATGTTAGCCTTGCAACCTTAAGGGTCTGTCCTCCGTGGCCTGTTAAGTACAACCTTCTGTTACTGATTGAGATTTAGACAGAAAATTGGGGCAGAGGGTCTGTCCTGTAGGCCATGGGCTGTGCTGGATGCCTGCCCCTTGCTTCACCAGGTTCGTGTCTACGTTTCTTTTTAAAGGAAGTTTTCAATAGCCAGACCTTACTGAGATTGGGAATACATCTGAGCAAGTTGTTTGAGCTGGCAGGGTGATGACTGATACTCAGAGCAAACCCCTTCTGTAGGAAAAGCTTTACAGGTGTTTTCTCCTTCTTAATCTGATGCAAAGATTGAGGAAGGTTCTACCTACGCTGGGCTGTCAGTTTGGAAAACATACAGGCTGTCAGTCCTTAAAGTAAAGCAGTCCTGGAAAGAGACTCATTTAGTGAACTTAATGGCATGAAATAAGTCTTTGTAAATACAAGGGAGATGTGTAATAGTTTTAAGAAAATATGCTAATGCAGGTTTAGATGTGGGTAACTGAGAATGTACTTCTTAGTCAACTCTGAGTAGGAAAATTCACTTCTAGGTAGCAACAGTTTGTATGATAAGCTTGTGTTTCTTCTAGAAAATTGATAAAAATGAACTGAACTGCAGTCTAGTAGTCCTTATTAATGGGGTTAGAGATAATTACAAATTTTCATGGGTTATGAGAGTGCGTAATGGCATAGAATGAAAGCTAAATTAAGTATCTCAGTTAATTAAGAAACTGTTAAACTCTAATTAAAACTGGAGTGTCGAATGCTCTTTACTTTTGAAATGAAATTATTTTGAGATACAAAAGTAAATATAATAGCCAAGAGAAAAATTATTTGGGGATGGGGCTGAAAAACCTACGACTAACAATTGTGGATGTGTTCCCACATCTGTTTCACAGTTTTAGAGAGCCTTACCTAAGATGAAAGAGTGATTTTTTTTTTTTTTTTAAGTGCATAAGGCCACCCTGTTCCCTAAATAGCATTTGACTTACAGTTTATCCTGCTGTAGAACATAAATTGCAACTCCTGCATTTTTGATTTATGGTAAAGTAATATCAAGAAAATCTGGGTGTTGTCCAGTAATGCTTTTACTTTATAGTAGAATTGGCACATCATGAGGGTTAGGTTATTTTTTTTTTTTTAAACTTGAAAGGTATGCTATGGTTGGAGTGATTGGAAGCTATTTCTTCCAATTGCTATTAAAATATTTATTTAAAGTCTTAACTAGTTCAGTGACAGAATTTGTAAAATACTGACAATATTGTGGCCAGGTCCATGAATATTTTTTACTATATTTTTGTCACACTATCTCTTAGAAAAGTCTCTAATTTAAAATGACTAGATCAGTGTTTTCCTTTGGGCTTAAGTTTAAAAAATTCTAAGTAAATAGAATGGTAAATTATTGCATGTACCAGTAGTCTGCAAAACTAGTTTTTTTCGTCTGGCTTTTATTTTCTATTGATGCCTCCAGTTTTGTAGCCTGTGAAGCCTATAATTGAAAATATTCTTTGATTAGTTTTGTGAAACCAGTTACAGTGCCACTAGGGGACAGCAGAAGATAATACATTTTGAAGCATAGTGCTACTTGATTCTTTTCACAACTGTTTTTCCAAACATAATTTGCAAATTGTATGGCATGAAAAAAACATATATAGGGATGTTTTTCTTCTAGTTGTGATTGCGTTGATGAGTAGAAAAGACACTGAAAAGTCTATTTTACCTTTGGATTTAGGTGTAAATGTCTTGTGCCAGGATACAGGCACATTCAAAATGCACCTTGGTAATGAATTTCTTCTTTCTTTCCTAGCATTACATTCTTCCTTTCACTCCACTTTTCATGTATTTTCCTTTGGAGGAGACTATTAAAAACTGTTACTTGAATTTATTGATTTTTGTGTAAGGAGTTTTTTTTTTTTAAAGCTACTGACAGTGGAATGTGAAACAGAATAAATATTTTTGCTCTGCAGTTTTTGTCTGTAGTATGTCCAGAATTTTATATAGGCTTCTGGTCTGACTCTGGCTCAGAGACTTCTGATGGTGTTTAACCCAGGCTGGTTGTGTAGATTTCTTAGGTGCTTAAACTGACTTAGGAAAGTGATTGTAATTTTTTTTGTTAATCGTAGTGTACATACAGGCATGCATGTTCTGTCTAACATTTTTCCTTTTGGTAAATTATATTCTGAAAACAAATGGAACAATAAAAGTCCATCCTTCCAAAGCAAGATTTTTTTTTGCCTGCCATCTTTGTACTGGCTGATATGTTGAAAGAGCCAAGAAGTATGAATAAAGACTAAAAATATAGTTTCTTTGATGCTTTGGCAACATTGAAGAATACACACACCAAAGTTTAGACAGCTGGAAGGGGCAGGTCATATAGTCTTATTTTGTCACAAAGTAAAATGCCTTGAGGCATGCTCATTGGGGCTGTCCTTCAGTAATTGTACATTATAGGTGTGGAAATGAGACTTAAAATAAGACTTAAGAGTAATCCTTGCAAGTGGCAATAAAACATTTAAAAATGCGACTTAATGGAACATTTTTCCAATGGTGGAAGCTTCTTTTTGTTTTTTTTTTTTTAATTGGAAAATAAATCCTAAGGATACTTGCCTTGGGTTCTGAATAAAAATTGCAGCCAAGATGGCAGCTCCTTGTTTGATAATTTTCTTTGTCTTTAAGACCCATTGAAGCACTTTTACTGATGTGTCTTTAAAAATAAATGCAGTATTTAGAGCATCTCATATTGTAGTCAGGTTATCATCCTAACTCAGGATAAGTAAAAATAGCTGCTAGCAGAGGTCACAAGAAATTGTTGACACCACATATTTAATGTGCAATTCACCTTATAAAATTCTCTAAAATTAAATATTGTACCCTAGCTCTATCCCTGCCAGTGGCCTGTGATGCCGCAGTTGTACTGGCTGGCACTGTTGTCGTTACGAGTTTTCTTCATAATGGCAAAGTATGAATGTTCCACTACACTGCAATATTAAGTGGCTAAGGTTATTACCTGCTGACATGAAGCTATCCTGTAAGCTGTAATAAAGAATAAATGAGCACATGTAATGCAGTAGAGTGGACACAGCTGCTGTGGAAAATGTATTGCTTACAATCTAGGCGGGAGGACCCAACAACCTCCCAAGGCCTTCTGAATTTAATTTATTCTGAGACTGGCATGATGAGGTTGGTGAGCCGCTGCCTGTTCTTGTCCATTATTTCTTATGACTAAGTCTGACTTGTAGACAAGGAGATCTAGCCAGTAGGACTAAAGGAAGGGGATTATGTTTTTGTGATATGAGTAAAACCTAGTTGCATGGTTCTCATAACTTGGCAATAGATATAAATGGGCTACTGTCCAGACAGGAGAAGGGATATAAAGGGATCAGAGGAAAACAAAACAATTCCCAAATAAACAAAACCTGAAGTAATCTCTGACTTCATAGCAATATTTGCTGATTATTTTTTTTTGAGATACTGAACCAAAGTTCATGCAATGGAGAAACAGGAATGAGCAAAGCATT